TTTTCCCGATGAAGTAAAGTGTCCCAACGTCTTGTAATACTAGCTCGTTCTTCCAATTAGGAGTAGAAAATCCCAACTGAATAGTACATAGATTGTTTTTCATTGGAATTAAGCGGTGGCAGCTCGCGTGAAAAACTGGGTCATCGTTTCTGGAAAATAAATCTTTCAAGTTTATGAAATCGCTCTTTTTGCGTGTATTCGTTTTGTTTTCGCTCTTTCTCTCTCTCTTTCTTTTCATCCATGTGTTGTTCGTGATTTACTATGAGCCATTTTTGTTCTTTTCGGATTTGTGGTTTGCCAAAAATAGTGCCAAATTTCCTACGAACATTTATAACGGCCAGGCGGTAACTTTCAGTATTCATATTTCATTTCCATCCTATCCAACTAAGTCGAGAGTTTCTATTCATTCACTCATTCATTATTTCATACATTGCCTGATTTATGTGAGATTGCGAATAAAATAGTTACTTATATACCAAGGTAGTAAAGAATATCATAATTGCCCAGGTTCCGTTGTAATAATATTATTCACTACCAAGGTGTTTGTTAATTTTTTTTTTCACCACTAGCAATATATTTCAAATGTCAATCAATATAGTTTTGTGAAACTGAAATATTGATCTATGGTCACTCTGAAAGCACTTTTGAATTTTAATTCAAATCTAGTAGCCATGACCATGACAGCGCATGAAAAGTCGTTATTGATAAATACCATATATTATACAACTACTAGATTCGAGTGCCATTCCTGCGAATCTCGTGACTTCTGGTTAATTCTAAAAGAGGGGACTGTCTTTACTGACTAGTAGTCGATAAAATGACAAAAACCACCTTGATAGAAAAAATACACTTCACGCCTTGAAAAGAAGTGAATAATGGTTCGTTCTAGAGGTGGAAAAAATGCTGTATCAGTCTCCAATTTTAGAAACATACACTCCAAGAGAAATGCGACATATTTTGTGATAATTTTATTATTCGTCCTGAAACCCCCATAGATACTCTGATAAAATATAAGTTGATTGTTTTGTTAGGATCAAAAGTCACTTTTGATCTGAATGAAACATGCTATTTTTTCTGCAACCGAAAGAATTTACTCAAAAAAATATGTGAAGTAACCACCAATGCTGCTGTGCCATATGTACGCAATCTAACAAATAATCCTTGGGGTGAGAATATTCTACCTGCATTAACAGAACAGGTTTATTCATTATCATACAATGATGCTCATTATGACAATTTCTAAGATGAAGGTATACCTCTGGTTTTCCCGACGTAGGTGTTAACTGTTTTAGTTATCAGTGGTGTATACAAAATGTAAGTAGTACCGAATAATGAAGTAATTTGATTATTCTGAAGTATTTCTATACGGATGTTACTCATTTGTAGACGCAAGGATTGTCTAGTATAATAACTATTAGTCAATTTATGTCGTTATGCTGAATAAGTTTGTGACAAATTCAATGTAAATTCATACATATCTACCTTGATCATTCTGTAATAAACCTTATGTTAAATCCAAGAAGCTTCACAATGGACATGGAACCAATGAGAAAGAAAATCTTTCCTGAAAGGTCTGTACAAATTCTTAGCACATAGTCATGAGGCCAATTTGAGCAACTCACATCAGTCAAAGTAGGTATGTCGAAAAATCCATTGCTGCAGTAATCATTCACTTATCAAATTACATCCACGAAGATAACAGCAAACATTATCTATTCAAAATAATTTGAATATTCTGGTGCGACATTGAACACGAAAAATGAAAATATCTTGAAAACGGCTTAATTTAGCAAATTTCTACATGTGCATCTTGAAAATATTCAGAAAATCACTTCTTCAACACAATGTTAAAAACTACACCGAGAAAAAAGTTACATGGCCGTTCCAAACCATAAATCAATATATGCATCAGTAAGCGCCCTTCAATGTCCACAGTAAAAAGGTGTCCAGAAATGGAGCAATTTGGGACTGAGGTAAGTTACATGAAATCGGCTTATTCTGCATGACCTCAGGAATATGTGATGTGATTTTGTACAGACCTTTTAGGACACCCTGTATAAAATGATATGGGTGGTATAACGAGTAAAGTTTTAATCGACTTTCTTCTCCAGATATTCGGATATTCAATGATTTCAGATGAATAATCACAAAATGTTATCAAATAAGTAGCATCCAATGACTTTCATAATTCAACAACAGCGTCTCATCTTGAGATCATCTGCATACAGAAGAGTGAGAAAGTAAGCGATAAGATTTCACAAAGTCAGGCATTGATGGTAAATAATGAGGGATGAAAGATTGGAACTAGGTGGTACACATGATATTCCCAAATAAGTTGAGTAATTTTCATGATAATAATGAAGTTCACTAATTTGAAGATGGTGTACCAATTCAGCTATTAATCAATCAATGTGGGGAAAACACTCAAGGGGTTACTTCATTAAATGCCAATTTATTTTTATATTTTTGGCACGGTATGCTCGACACCTACAGACAGATTTGGTTTTTTGTTCCTCATCAGTGTATGGAAGTCACTAGATAGTAGATAGCTTGCGAAATGCCATCTAAACAGGGCCTACTATATCTAAAGCGAAACTTAGCTAAACGAAAACTCAAATCGGCGTTCTCCTGCTCAGAGACACTTACCCATAGTAATATGAAAACAGCGACATCTAGAGTAGAGAAAAAGGAAAGCTTTAGTACTGAAATAAATCCAAACTTAGATTAGCAGATCGCTCACTGACGTTATTTGCATTATTTAGACTGTCATCTATCATTGTTGTTCATTTCATTGAATACTCATGCAGGTTTTTGAGTTCTTCCTTCAGTGTTAACACTGTTAACAGTTCATTCCAGTTTTTTATTTTGGCTATTTTGAGGCTACATTTGGAGATTTTCATTATTCGACGATTTCTTCATGAATGAATCATGAAAATCCAAAGAATCAAACAATAATAATGCGCTTGTTGGTGAATGGAAATTGGATTAGTCATAGGTTCTGATAAATTATCTGAAATTTAAGGATATTTCGTTCTGGTTGCGTCACAAGGCTACTTCTTGAAAACTATATGCATAAAATATCAACAATGATTCACAGAATTCTTGTGAACATGTTTCGCAAAATGAACTGGTTGAATATTGAAGAAATGTGACTAAATGGTCCGAAAAGTAGTGTTGTTCTGACCACGTTTACTTTACGTGGTCGCGTATGGATTGAGATTGAATATGCATACTTTGAGTTATAGCGTCTTTCAAGTCATGGTTTTCATGGGTTTTCAACATGTCCTTGACAATGATCTAATTGTGCTCACATGCAAGAGTGCAACCAATCAAATTTGAATTTGCATTGAAAATTGATGATTTCGAACGATTAGTGATTGCATGAAGATTGGTTCTTGTTGAAATTTGAAGAACTATACCGAAGAAAAAATTTACATACGCAGCCCTCTTGTAGGAAGTCCCGTAATTATTATCTGAATATGTGATAAAGAGGGGGTTATTTTTGATCAATTATTTAACGTATGTTTTTTCGCAGACTTATTTTTTGTGTTACTTGTATCACGATAGACTACTCTGCATACACTCGTGGTATGCACATGCGCTGTGGTAGTTTTATGAAGATGCACTTTTTTATTGTGTGATCACATTGAAAGTGTCAATATATAAGGGGTTCCACTGAAAAATTCAAAACCAGACGAACTAGTGAAACCGTAAATAAACAGAAAGTGAAAACTTTGCAAACATTTTCCTCTTTACATAATACCATTCACCTACAACAAATCTGATTTTTATACACCAATATAATATTCCAGAAGTTATTCGTCTGATAGATTCGTTGACACCCAGTATAAATACTGTAGGTGGTTGAACATTCGTCTGGTTCAATGAATATTTAAAAATTTTTAGAAAAATGTCGAAATATTGACATAAAAATCGAAATTTCGGGATTGAAGTTGGAACTTCGAACATATAATTAGGAAATGGAGATGAGAATTTCGAATCTGTGATTCCTAAATGTATCAACACTTGCAGCTGTATTCGTCTTTACGAATCATTGCATAGATATCGGGAGGATGTAATTCAATTTTCTGCTTGGCATATACAGGGTGTTTCATAATTGAATGCTGATCCTAAAGGGCGATGATCCTTGGATGATTTTAAGGAGAGAAGTTCATATCAACATATGTCCTGAACCTCTTAGTTTTTGAGCTACAGGGTGTTGAAATCAAAAGCGTACAGCGTTTTTTCAATTAAAACATTCAGTATCAGGTCTACGAGGACATCACTGGTAAAAGTAAAGGTTTGATTTTCGTCCCAAAACAAAATGTGTTTCCACTTATAGTGGGTGTCAACTGAATTACCAAAAACAATATCCAAGAGCTGAAGGAACAAAATTCTTTGGTTTTTATTTTTTTACGTGAAAACGGTACGTTGTATGAAAGTAAGTCTAGGAACCAAATTTGCTCCAAAATGAATGAGAATTGAAAAAAAAAATCTGGTTCCCAGAAAAATCAGTGGCGTACTATTTTTTTCTTCAAAAATTGTCAGTTCAAACCCCGTACGGACGCCACTGGTAAGAATTTTTAAATATCTTCCATGTAAAAAAATGCTCCTTAATAATGAAAAGGTGTATACAGAATATCATAACAATATCTAAGAGTAATAAAAAATTATGAAGAAAAACTCATTTTTTTCTTGAAATTTCATCACCCTGTAGCTCAATAACTAAGAGGTTCAGGACATATGTTCATATGAACTTTTCTCTTTGAAATAATCCAAGGATTATCGCCCTCAAGGATCAGCATTCAATTATGAAACACCCTGTATAGCCAGGAGACTAGTTGTTTTTCTCTCGTTATCTAACAATTTCGCTCATGATATGAACTAATGTGGTACCTAATGACTATGAGTTTCTTCCTCTTTGTGACCATTTCGCTCCACTTCAAGTATTTGGCTTTTTCCTAGTATTTTTTTTTGCTTTTTATACCACTATTTATTTCAACTCCACCAGGTACGGCGGTCACCAGGGGCGAACTCACTCCTACTCGCCCTCTGTCTTCGTCTTCTTCTGCGCTACCACGGGCTCCACAGGTGCCACGGCTGTCGATGTCTTCCCCCTACGGCCGTCTAGATGTAGGCCGGGTATATAAGCGGAAATCGAGAGTGCGGCCGGACTGTTTATAGTGCGCTCCACCGTGTCGCGCTCTCTCTCTCGTTCTCTCTGTCTTCCTATATCGGCGTCTCTGTCCCTGGAAAAGTGTCATGGCGTCCCACGCGTCGACGGCGCTCGCTCTTCTGCTCGCTGTGGCGCTGATGGCCTTCAACGGTAAGTGTGCTGAGGCTGGGGAGGTGTGGCGGGTTCGAAACGCCGTGGGTGGTTGATCGCGCTTGGTTTTCCATGTATTTGGATGGGACTTTATGTGATTGCTAATATGTAACTGGAAAATAAGAACAATTGGATGATGGATAAGAAATTTTCCATAATAGTTATTTGTTTTACTAGGCAGAAAAGTACCAGATTTAATGCCGCGGCTGGCGTTTCATAGCCTAGGCGTAGAAGAGGCTAGGAAACCAGCCAAGGCATCACATCTCCTTTTCTGCCATGTGAAACATAATTTTATCTCCAAATTCTTTTCAATTTCACACAAAGTCCAAATAATCCATCATTTTTTGTTCACCCAAAGTCATTGTCAATTTTGAATACCAATTTGATCCAAATTACTTGGAACTTTGCATAGCAACAAACTTATTCTGTCTAGGCAGTAAAAGTACACCTTTTCTGCCTGTTAAGTGTCATTTAAAAGTCAATTTTAATCTCATCTGGAGAAAAAATATATTTTTCAATAGTGTAATTTCTTTTTGAGAATCGTTCTTGACATCTGGGCTCATATTTTTGGTGACACTTTTCAAATCTTCAGAATATCTGTTCAATTTGAATCAATTTGGTTTTATGACTGTTTGAAATCTGGATTATTGTTTTAGTTTGAGTTCTGGTCTGCAGTCATCTGCCAAATTCTCTGAAACTCCTCATTCATTTCTGTATCGATTTATTTTCAATTTATCTGAGATGATGAATGATATATATTCACCGTTTGTTTCAAAAAAACTACCTGTTGCTCATTTTTCCGAACATTTCTGCGATATCGAATTGAAATGAATTTGCTAAAATGAACCCAACCGGAAGTAAACTCGATTCGATATTGACAATGGAGCACCCTTTATATATTTATATATTTAAAAAGTTGATATATAAGTACTGACACTATTTGATATGAGTCAATCCAGAAATTCAAGTTATATCATTCAACTATGTTAAATACTGAGTGTTCACTTTGAGAAATCTCGGTTGAATCAGGTTGAACTGAAATGTTAGTATACTCCCATTTCCCATAAATTCAACACTATAGGTATACGTATTTGAATTTCAATTCAATGCCTCAAGAATGTCCACCAGGCCTATATATGTCTATATTCAAGGAATCTCTGGATTTTTCGATGTTATTATAAGTCTTTATTTTTCACACCTAGGGCATCATATTATAATAAGTACCTACCACAACTTAGTGCGATTAGGTACGTCAAATGAGAAATTATTCAAACAAAAAATAGGTTTTAACTTCGTGTGCTTCAGGATTTTTGTATTCCATCATCAAATCATTAAATTTTGAACAACATGAATACCTAATTCTATGCTATGTACAATCGCAGTGATTTTTTTTTCTGAAAATACGCATATGAATCGAATATGTTGGATAAACTGGTATCAAATATAGAAATGAAAACAGCCGGTAGAAGAATAGATGTAATATATATCCATACGCTTCGAAGAGACATATCTTGATACTTCAAGGTAAATTTAATGCATAATGTAACGATGTTTCCTTGTATAATTATTGTGAAAGTTTCTTAGCATTTGAGCAATACTGAAAATACGCGAATTCAAATCTGATTGATATTGTGAATACATTATGATGTTTTCATAATTATTTGAAAGTGAAACTTGATGATGTATTGATTGTATCAGAAGATATTTCATATTTGCATCATGGTTCAAAACCTATAACAACAGAACAACATATTTTGAAACATTGCACACAATACTCGTTTCAAAAGTTTATATTCGAACTAAATAGAGCATTCAATGAATGACAGGAAGGAAACCTGAAAAACATTTAAAAACGTCTAGTTACGTAGTTCACCAACTGATTTGCCTTCATTAGTTTTTTCTGAAGGAACTAATGTAGCTTGATATCTAATATAATTTTTATCGAAATGTAGATATGCGCATGCGATATTAAAATGATATATATAATAATATTCCATAAATGAGAAATCGTATAACATCAGCTACATGATTTGTAGGTGAGTATTAAAAACACTCTATGTATCTGGAAATGGTTGGTCCTATCCCCTTAAACTCGAGTAAGAATCTCCTTAAGGGTTAAGAATGCGTTGGCAAAAATAAACTACCTGTAATCAAACGTGTAACCATCGACCATGTGATATTATAATGTGAAAGTTGATTGCCTTGATAGGTTTTCACTCAAGATTTTTAGAAGACAGTCATTTGCTGTATGGTCTATTCCTGGAATTCCGTCTATTATGATATCGTAAAGCTGCTAATTAGTTGAACATTACGGCGTTATTAATTGATAGGTTTCTTTTCGTTGAAGTAAAGGGTAATTTAGCATTCAATAGCATTGACAAATACTAGGATTAGGAGAAAGTGATGATACTATACTTAACAGTAATATGAATACAAAAAAGTCGAATATCCATATAATCTTCATGTTTGTTAACTTGTGATGAGTAGCGTGTATCGTCATATAGCGAGTCATATAGGTACTGTTTCAAAATATATCTAACTACTATCCCCCATTCTCACCCCAATTGCTGATATTTTAACATATATCTAATAACAGTGCAATAATAGTTTCTTCAATTCACCTCAGGCACTATATACAAGTTTGGCAAAAATAATTTTCCTATTGTGATATCGTGTCATGAGTGACAAACGATAATTCCTGCGGTCTAGCCGAAAAATGGACTCGCTAGGAGGGGCTAACGCGATACGAAGCGTTTGGTAACGTCACCGTTCTCTTCGTTGAAATGCCCATGCACAGAATGCCACTGTTTCCATGTAGGAAAATTATGTTTGCCAGACGTGTATACCAACATACCTACATTTTGTCTCGATATTGTAATGTTCTTGCGAAAGAGATTAGGTACTATGAGCAAATCATTATATATGTCATAATGTCATAATGAATAGGTGAAAATTTGCATTGAGATATATCCTCAATTAAAATCTCATCATATACTATCTAGTCGTCTGATGTCGTATATATACAGTGCTTTTCTCTAATGTCTCCCCCTCCTTTTATTCTTTGAATAGGTCAACTGAAAACATTGAAACTTAGGATAATGTAATAGATGCATATGAATACCATATTTTGAAGTAGAATTGGCAGATGAAAATTTCAAGATGGTGACCGGCTGTCATTTGGAAAAAAAATTAAATGGAACGTGCATAACACACCCTTTTGAATCTCCTGATGAATTCTCCACAACCAAATATTCAATGGTTGCCTGAATACAAACACATTATATTTATATGGATATTGTATTCTAACAAGAAAAACATTTGAATAATATTCTTCATGGTCGTTGGATTGGCAGTCGAGGTCCTACAGAATGGCCACCCTGCTCGCCAGATTTGACACCTTTAGACTTTTTTATGGGGCTATTTGGAACAAAAGGTGTATGAACCTGAACCTGCTTCATTATGGGATATATGACAAATATTTGTAGAAATATCGACATAACTGTGTTCGAAAGTGTTCGGCGTGAAATATCGGATACCTATAGGATATTCTTATGTCAAGAAGTTCAAGAAAACCTTTTCGAGCATCTTCTGAACTGAACTCAGCTTATTTCCAAGAATTATGAAGATAAATTCCATCATTCCCGATAAAAAAATAGAAGGTGGAGAGAAACATTAAACAAAATCACTGTATATTATATTGTGAAGTGAATTATAATTTTATAATAGAGAATGGGGTAGCAGTAATGTTGTTAGAAAAAATTCATGTCAATATAAAACAAACTGAAATATACGAAAAAATGTGAAGTCGAAATTTTATGTATCTATACTCTGAACTATCAACTAAAGTGGAGTGATGTAGGGAAAGTGGATAATATGAACACCCTGAGATGAGTGTAATTTGATTAATTCTACGCTATTATAATAACAAACTATTAATATACCCGCGCACTTAGCCTGATGTTTATTAATGATTTCCACACCCAAAAATTCCTGAATATAATTTGTTTAGGGTGCAAATTCTACATGTCATGTAGAATTCCGTGTACAGCCTTGATATCTATCTCTAATTTGATCAATAATGATTAAACAAAATCACATGGAAAATTACAGAAATTTCATACTATTTGAAGCATGAAAATGGTCATGAAGAAAAACCTATATACCATCTAGACAAGTCATATTCAAATTACTCATATGTGGAAATAATTATTGGTGTCAAAGAATGATTTGACTTCTCAATAGTTTTTTTATCATATTGACCTAACCCATCAATCAATCAATCAATTCCAACTATTACTTAATACGAGGCTTCTATATATTTTGTCATAAGTTGCATCATTGTCCTATTGTCCAACTCTTTCTCATGAACTTCAAGGATGGTGTGTTAACAGTAATATAGAAATTAAAATGATGATGTTGATTATATTCTAATAAATTTCCTGTGATCTCAACATGGAATCAATTTTCGTCTCTTGTGTTGTATACTGAATAACATCGAAAGAATTCAAGGATTGATTCTGTGATGAAAGTTAAGGGGGTGTATGGTATAATATTTTTTCACAAACCACTTCCCGGGAAAGTTTGACCCCTCCGAGGAATGAAAAAAATTGTTCTCTTTTTTATTTTCATAGTTTTCAAAACAACCTGTGGAGATGAAGAAGTTAGTGAATAGACTGGGCTTTAAACCAAGTATTTTTAAAAGAATTATTTTCATGAAAAAAACTTTGTAAGAAAAAATAGTTTTGGGATTGACTATTTCAAGATTTCAAGCCCTTCTGAGCATACTTCAGAGTTGAGAACCTTCCAAAATGAAACAATATACAGGGAAAATTGAAAATAAAAACTTATTTTCTTTATTTTCGAAGGGGTGTGAGTTTTCATATTGATTTGCATCACAGAATCATCTCTAAATTTTTCACGGTGTTTCATACAAGTTATGTAATAAGATTGGCCATCAGAATCACTAGATTCAAGTATTAATGTTTCCGATGTCCGATTGTTGGTAGTGGTAATCAACTGCGTCTATTTCAAATATTTTCACATGGTATAGGCGAATGGAGTGATTATTTTTTTTCCTTAAATCATCACTCAAATACCTTTCATTCAGAACCCACTGTAATAAGTTATGTAACATCTTGAACTCTAAATGTTATCAAATTAGAAACTTCAAAAGTGCACTGCATCTGAGTCATCTCCTAAAATTTTATTTTGCAGAAGTGCATTCTAGAATTTCTTATGGTATTATTGCATGAGGGAACACTCCTGCAGCAACTAATGTATTTCTTGCTCAGAAGCTTATTCTAAGATGCCTAGTTGGTTGTCCAGCAAAGCACTCATGTAGGAACATTTTTAAAGAAAATGAAATTCTCACAGTCACCGGCATATACATTCTTGAACTTATGACATATGTTCATCAAAATCAAAATTTGTACAAGAAGAATAGTGACAAGCACTCTCACAATACTAGAAAGAAAGAGGACTACCATGTGCCATTCAAGCACCTGGAACTAACCAAAATGTCACCAAACACTTTAGGTGTCCACATGTTCAATTCTCTACCACAAAACTTGAAAACTATCCTGCCTGTTCGCAAATTCAAACGTGCATTGTCCAAACTCCTCATAGATCTTTGTCCTTACTCTATACAAGAATTTGAAGGAGCACTTGGTTAATATATTGATTCGACCATTTCGAAATCCTCTCGATAAGTTCAATTGAATCAACGTTACAGGTGATCTATACTCCTGCATCAGCATCACCTCGAAATATCATTATTTTTCCACTAACCCATCTTCCTTTCTCGACGAGAGTGGCTTTCATACGAATCGTGACAGGCTTAAGAACATCTGAAATCTGTGGTCGATGAAAATTAATCAACATCCAATTTCAAATGTCAAGGTCTGATATAAAAGTGTTAGTTATTGGCAAATTTGACCTTCGACAAAAAACAACATTTACTTAGGAATACTAGGTATCAGATTAGATAATGTTAATTCCATGCACATCATCAAAAGTATCAGTCATGGTATAGGTTATGTCATCTTAATGGAATAACATTTCTAACAAAATTGTTCCAAGACTAAATTCTTTGTTAGCTTCTCTATCTATATCATATGATTCACAAATCACAATACAGTGAGATCGGTCACACTTGAACTGTACAATGATGATGAAGGCTGTAAAACAAATGAAGAATAATTCTTCATGGTTTGTAATCAATGATTTTCTACTCGCAAATGGTAAATGAGATATCCTCTTGATATTAGTGCTAGGACAAGAGGTTTACTGAAGTAGAAAACATCAGCTAGTCTAGCCTAATGTGTCCAAATGAATATAACCTGAAGGCAAGAAGAATACAAACGGGACTAACCCAAAAACAGTATTCACAGATATGGCATATCTCATAATACATATACTCATACTAAACAAATCGAATATCAATTACAAAGATGATGAAAAATCAATAATTGAAGTAATAGATGCAACATGTAGTGATTGTAATGTGTTGATACAAACAAAGGTAAAATTCTATTCAGTACATATCAAAACATTTCAAAATATATCAAAATCAAGTTGAAGCAAGGAAATATCGATATCAATAGAATTTTACAGCGTGTTGTATGATATTTGGCATCTATGAAATAGAGAGTTCAAAAAATAAATTGTTTGAGATTTTTCGTTACGATAGATGTGATGATTCCTAGTAGGTGATTTGAGTAGAAGCTGTAAGATAAATATTAAAGAGGATAGCAGGCGAATCAACTAAATTATTCATGACTTTATAAAGGAATTTCACGTCTGAAATGTCCCTTTTATGCTCTAGTGATAATAAGTTCAGCTCATTTCGAACATAGATACGGTTGCTGGGGTTGGATGGAAAGCATTTTTTATTGACGTAATCTATGAATATATTCTGTATTCGTTCAAGTTTATTTATATAAATATTGTAACCAGGGTTCCATATTAAGGAACGATAACTCAAAACACTATTGACATATGACATATAAAGGGTACAGATATTAAATATAAGAAGAAAGTTTGTTCATTTCAAAATTATCTTTTTTTATACAATTAAAATGTTGAATTTTTTATCTATCATCCTATGGATGATGGCGGGAACTCATTTAGTATAATAACTCATTATCGACTTATGGAAGAATAGAAATAATCACGTCAATCGCTATATTATCCAAAGATATTATGATGCAAGACACAAACTGGTTATTTAGCACTCGCGATGTAGAATCAAAAGAACTTTCTCTTAATGCCTTAGAAACGCTTCATAAATTTATTATTGATTATTACAATGTTAATCAGATAAATTACGGTGATTACGCCATGAAGCTTCTACAAAAAAGCAACATCTACACCTGATGGGGGCAAAAGTTACATAATAAATAAATGTATTGTACCCTTTTGATTCATATCGAGGATATAAGGTATTTCAACCTGAATTCAAAATTAGGGTTATTTCGCTATTGCTAACGATGAGTAAAAATGATAAAGAAAACATCTAATATATATGATAAATAATCACATAGAACGGTACTGAATAATAATAATTTTATATAACGCTTACTGTCAACTTTTATAACTGAAATCCTAGTGGATATAGCCATAACTATGTTATATTCATGTCAACCACAGACCGAATTTCACGCAAATGCATCCTTGCAAAATATTGCATTATTATGCTCTATTGAGCCATATCGTATCGCTGTTCTGTATGGGACGGTTTGATAATACGTGACAAATAAAAGAGACAATAGATCGGCTAATTGAAGCTCGTAGATAACTTTTTCGATTGCAACATAATAATATATGATTTTTGTTGTTGTTGATGCAGGTCTTGCACAACAGACTGAAGAGACGGCACCCAAGAAAGAGGAGAGTTTCGAGGCTGAGCTGTGCAAAGACAAAGATGCAGGGGAGTGGTTCCGATTGGTGACTGGTGAAGGAGACAATTGTCGTGACGTCATCCAGTGTACATCTTCAGTAAGTCCATCTTCCATTTTTCATCTTGAAGCTGCGCCCATCACGCACAAGCAACAAGTGTCGACATTTATATGTCGACCTTGGTAGAACTTGTTTTATAGTCATAAGAAAAGAAAAAGAAAAAGAAAAGAAATTTTATAGTCAGGATTCTACCACTATCCTCTGAATCTGTTATAGGTGTAGCTTCGTAGGTAATCAATTTGATGAATCTGCAGTAATTTCATCCCGATTAGCTCATAGGATGTTGGGAATTGAAGACGTAGCATGGAAAACATATTTTCCTTATAGCTATTTTTTCAAATAACATTCAAAATGTTACTTGTTGATATTTGGGAAAGTTACAGCAGCAACAGCTTTCTTTGTCAATAGTGGACATGTCGTTATTTGAAAAGCGATTGATGACAATTTCTTGTTGCATAGTTCAATAGGTTGTGTGCACGATGGTCGATGACCAACCCTGAAACACAACCTCACTTTTCTGTAAAACATTGAAACACAACTTCACTTTTCTCATTTGTTTACAAAGGTATCAAAGGATTGAAATATTTTGGGATACGAATTGTGTTTTTTTGGACTACTCATTAATTCAAGCCTACCATCACATTGTTCTGTTGTACAATGCACAAAAACGCAGCGAGAGACGAAGGAATATGATTTTTCGGGTAAATAGTGATATCAGATAGTTTTCATTATGAATTTCTTTCATTTCTCATTAGAATTTCTCCTGCCACTTCTGCAATAGAAGCTAATACTGCTAATAGAGTGAAAATGTCTACAATCCACACGATTATATTTCGTCAGCAGGTCAAACCAGTCCTCCCGTTTGATTGCACGACTCCAATCTTCTTGCCTTCTCTCAGAAACCTCACGAGTTTTTTTATTAGCTCCTATTACAGAAGGAATTCCAATGAGAAATGACAAAATTTCAAAATGAAATCTACATGTGAGTGACTACAGTACTTTTAGATCACAATGTACCTACCTCATCTACCTGAAAAATTGGATTTCTGCGTCTCTCGCTGCATTTTTTTGTATTGTACAACAGCACAATGTGATGGCACGCTTGAATTAATGCATTGCCGAAAAACAAGATTCGTATGCCGAAATAATTGTGAAAAACTATTTCAATCCTTGTTGTTTCATGAGGAATCCTGTGATAAATCTAATACTGTTTAATTTAAGCAAATCCTGATAATATATGATGATTCTGTCAACTGAAGTCAGTTCACAACCGTTAAATGGTATGATGATTATCCGTTCAAGGTCAGGATCAGTTATCACCTTCTTCATTCCATTATGTCATCAAGTTTTCCTAGCGCGTTACCATTCTCATGGTCAATTAGATTATCCCCAGATGAATTGGAATAATGTATAACTCATAAACTTTTTGAAAATAAATATGTCTCACTGTCGTGACCTTACTTTACCTGATCCAGCATTCATTCAGTTTCCTTATGATTCCTATGTTATAGTATATTTCAATTTCATGTTGATCCCATAACTAATTACTGTGATACATTTGGAGAAGGGGTTACTTTGTTCTGCTACACAGGAACTTCCAAAGCCTGGAAAACATAATTAGAACTTTCCTGTTTGAGTGACTGGCCTGTTATTACAGTCTAAGGTTTATTAATATTCGCCAAACAATGTGAATCAAACTTATATTTCATTTTGTAATGATAAATGATTGCTATTCTGAATATGACTATACTAGTTTTCTCGTCTTTCAACCATAAAGGAATGAATCCAAGGTAATTTGAATTGGTATAGGCACAGCTATAGTGGTCCATGTGAAGAAGATCAAAGAATGATATGCTAGGTCTATCGTTGGTCAGTAATAGATAACATTAACTCAATCGTAAGCAGAGTAATGATATTTCTTTATCAATCAACAATTACTGGAGTTCTGGAAATCAGGGTGGAAGGGATTCGAATCAATAGTTGGTGAAATTCACTGATTCTTATAGAGTTTTGATGATAATTTCGAAATTCTAAAAGTACAAAATAAAGGAATAAAACTCAATCATTTCGAATCATTAGAAATCAACGAACTACAGAATTCTGACATTTTACTTAACTATCAACTAGACCTCAATAGTTCACAACTGCATGTGGAATATGTTTTCTTAGTAGGTAATAATATGTAATTGCTATCAACCGTTTCAAGTTAATCCGGTAGACGGTATTTCAATGTAGATATTGTGCCTAATTTCCGAAAATGAAGGTTTATCAGACCTGTCCACAGGTACCTAATCCTTCAGGTTGGGAACGTAGGATATATGAAAGTTCAGCAAGCCAAGGTTAGTTTAGTTCATTGCACCAATATATCACCTGACGAAGCTACTGTGTTAGCGAAATATGTCGTGTGTTTGAGAATTTTGTGGAAATCTTATCGTTTGTGAAGTTTTTAACACGTGACATGAAACAACAAATTTGGTCACAGAACACTGAAATTATACACTCTTGCCAAGTGTGAGGGCTCCTTTCAGGAGGAATACTCAAGGGAGGTCTAAAAAACAAGTTTAACGTCAAGTGCTGAATAGTCCTCAAGGAATCCTCAGATGAGGAAGACTTGAGGAGTTCTTGAGATGACGACTATAAATACGGGCCTAACTTGTCGTTATTCCTCTCCAGGGTCTGCAGGCAATCCGTTGCCCTGCAGGTCTCTACTTTGACATCGAGAAGCAGACCTGCGACTGGAAGGACTCAGTGAAGAACTGCAAGCTGAAGAACAAGGAGCGTCGAGTGAAGCCCATGCTGCACACCGACAAACCCGTGTGCTCTGAGGGGGAGCTCTCGTGCGGGGACGGGCAGTGTATTGAAAGGGGCCTGTTCTGTAACGGGGAGAAGGACTGTACTGATGGTTCCGATGAGACCACTTGTGGTGAGTTGAACAATGACCACGTTCATACCGTATAGAGATTTAGTATGCTTACCAAGATGATTTGACCAAATTCAGACCGAATACAATGCCTTAGTTAACGCATGTTAACTTTGCCAACTTTGTTTTGATTCGATTTTTTTTTTGAGGTTTGGTTGTGGAAATCCACTTAAAGTCGTAAATTATTAATAATCTTTGAATGTATGTTATAAACGGGACATCGAATGTAGGAAATTATGGAATTTGATTGAGTCGTGCTTAAACATCCGGTAGGAATCGGAGTTAGCTGGATCCCAATCCTACAGTATGTCTGAAATAGTTGTTAACAAATGGAAAGATTTTCTATTATTTTGGGAACGAAGTAATTCGTCATAAATAGTTCTGCGCAGCCTCAAGCCTAAAATACGATAATCAGATATTTCTTCAGTTGTATACAAGGTATGTAGAAAAATAACAATTTTACTCAAGAAAAAATAAGTACCCTCATTTTCTACAATATTGTAAATTATTATTAAAAAAAATTTACAGCCATTGAGAACTACCTACGTTCAAAAGAGTCTAATTACATCCATCTACTATAAGAATCAGGTATTATTATTATTATCTTCAGCTAAATTAATATTTTTTGACATACCGCGTGTAAGACCAAAAAAATTTGAAATATTATTTTTTCAATATGGTATTGTAACATTTTTGGATTTCTAAGACAATTCTGGATCCGAATGTAGAATTTTTAATCGTATTAACGCCGACTTCACCCTTAATAATGCACAGAATTATGGCACATTCACTTTTCGCTGATAAAGTTTATGTCACTGTCATAACTTGAGTTAGTGTTTTCTTTTCCGAAGAAGACTTGATGAGAATAACTGCGGAATATCAAAAATCATAGCTTTCCATGGCAGACTTGACAAAAGTAAATGAATTATTAATCATTATCCAGTATTTTCCTTACTAATATTGAATTTATGCTCTTATTTTTGATCCAATTGCAGATAAATCATAGTATCGTTAGATTCATCAAAAGATTCTTTCATCCTGGAACTGCTAGTCTAAAAATGGTCGCCATTTGGGAACTATTCTAGTTAACTTATCTTATTCTTGTCTATCATATAAAGCATTAAAACTCCACGATTGTTGGCGTGAAATCTTTTCGAAAGGTCACAATTTCATCCAGAATCGTCTCAGAAATCCGAAAATGTTACAATATACGTTCTTTTCGAAAATTCAGAACTGGAGCCATTTCGGGTGAAACTGAAAACGATCGAAAGGTTGAAAATATGCTAAATCTACCTTTTCTTCATACACCCATACCAAATCTCATTTCGATACACCTGATATTCTAGATAGTTATGGCTTATCTAATGGATTCTTTAACACTGGTTATGGAGCATGTGTTACTTGTTGAAATTCCGTATAATTCTTCGATGACGAAGAAAACGTATAGGAAGTTCATCAACTGTGCTTATTCACCAATCAACGCCAATAAATATAACTGTTGATTTTAGTTAGGTACATGCACGGTTATTTTGCTAGTTTCCTTTTGGAAGGTTCACTGCCATCTTCATCTGGCGGATAACTAAATGATATGTTAACGAAAAACTCTCAACATAGTGAACCTTCGTGTGCCAATCATATTATTTTGGTACAGAATGATGACAATAGCGAGCCACGGTGTAGTTGGGAGCTCTGGGAAGAGATCCATTCATATTGTGGTGTCCGTAATCTAATCAAGCTATAGACAAAGCCTCATTTCATTCATGAAAGAATGCATACATTAGAAAAACGAAAGTAAGGTGATTCTAATGTCATTACATGATGCTATGGAATGCACCAGACATTCTAGGACGATCCCATTTTAACTTCCAACACGTTGCACTGCCCCAATCCCATTAAACTAAATGATGATCTGATAATTGTGCAACATTCGGTTGTGGTCATCGAACTTCATCAATAAATTTATAATAGGACGGAGCACAAAGAATGAGAGCCCATCAGTAGAGCTGTGGTTTGATCTTTAATATAAGACAGAATACATGCTACCAAATATGATACTAGGAAAGATAAATGGGCGGCGCGACTGATACTCATGAAAAGTATAAATCCGGCACTGAAACAAGTCAAGGATATCAAGGATCACCCTGTGTATATTTCGGTTACCGGTGCCGGTGTTTATACGTGGATGCGAAAGTCGAGAAATATCACTTTCATCGTCCTTGAAGTATCATGTGTGAGTCTCGAAGCGGGAGCGCCACAACAAACCGGCCTACTTTCCAATGGAAGAATGCGGCCCCAATCAGCCTCTCTAGCGACCATCTCATTCTTACGACATCGTCAACCCTTGCTCACTTTTTGACTGTATCCTGTATATTTGTAACCTGTATGTCACTGATATAAGGTTTCTTACAAACAGGAATTAGATGATTCCTTTCAAGGCCACTTGAATCGTAATTTGAAAATTGTATTGCCTCTCCGATCATTGTCTAATCTTCACAGTACAACAAGAGTCGGTTGTATCTCATCTTCCTAGACTCCAATCCTCCTAGAAAATCTTGATTTATTTCCTGAGGATATCTGAATCATCAAGAAAATATGGTAGATCTCAGAGCTGCTACTGAGGGTATAGCAATTTACATAGAGCCTGCTTCATTCATTATGCAATTCAAGATGTTTGGCAAGGCTCATCTGATAGTGATCTCTGTTGAAGTAGTGATGTCATGACTACTCCAAACTGGCACACAGTACGCTTATTCAGTTGTAAAATGTAAAATATGCGGATTACTGAGAGCTTTGGAATATGATTGGTCCTGCTGTATTGTTTTAATTCAACCTTATTTTTGACGAATAGACTTGCACAAGTTTGAGATTCTGAGCAATGATAAGTAATTGAGATCGTTCATAAATGTGAATTTCTCTGAGTTTCTCCAATAAAGGTAGAAATTGATTCTAGCTGATACCACCCAGAATCATTTCACTTTTTGAAACTCGCGTACCTACGCAAGAATATGCAAATGGCCAATGGCTGGCTAGTAGCGACAGTAAACAAAAACACGAAACGCAATCCACTCTTACTTTTCCACCTGAAGGTGTATATGCGGATTTGCTGATTAAAATCTAACCGAACAACTTTCGTTTATTTTTGTATTTCTAATGCAATAACGGCGACCGTTGTCTCGTAATCTTGGCACGAATTTTTTTGAACTGCCTTGACAAAAATTTGGTAACTACCAGTGGCTGCTCGTCAAAATCTGAAACTGTCAATTTAGTATATTTTGAAGTAGTCCATACTCGGAATCATCAAGTAAGAAAAGTCTCTTAGTCGTCGCAACATAATTTTTTATTCAATTTGATTTAATCATCAGTCAAAGGTACATAAAAGTGAATCGACAATGGACACATTTTACTTCACATCTAGCAAAGAGTTAACATTGTGAGTAAAAAGTGACGAGAGACAAGTGTATAGTTCTTGTCACTTTTCACCCTTTGCTAGATGTAAACTAAAACTTTTCCATCGTAGATCCACTTTCTTTACAATTGACTGATGACCATTTGAATGGTGAAAACATGTCTCAAACCCTTCTGGAGTATAGATTCGACTACATATACTCGCCATTGAAAATATTGTGGAGACGACTTCGAGACTTTCTTGATTGCTTCCTCCATGAGAAAACACATAGCTACATGTTTCTTTCCTTATTTTTTTTTCAGGTTTCGTCTCGGTTTTCATGTTCAGTTGAAACATATGCTGTATTTAATTAGAGAAATCTGGCATAACCAGTTGAAAAATTTATCGTTTTGATGACCTCCAAATTTCCCTTCTAGTGTCACATTCCTCGATATAATTCCATCAATATTTAGTCGTTTTATTACAAAACTTCATTTTTGTACCACTGGTGAACTGCCATAAAACCACTGTGAATAAAGATATGTTTGCACAACTAATACCACCACTGTATTCTCAACTCATTAATATTGCTTTAATTTTGTTTAAGACATCGACAGTGATCCCAACAGCGCCCCACCATGTGACCCGACAGTTTGCAATCTTCCCGACTGCTTCTGCTCGGAAGACGGTACTGCCATCCCGAACGATCTTCCAGCTAAAGACGTCCCCCAGATGATCACCATCACTTTTGATGACGCCATCAACAACAATAACATCGGCCTTTACAAGAACATCTTCAACGGCGAGAGGAAAAACCCCAACGGATGTGACATCAAAGCAACTTTCTTCGTCTCGCATAAATACACCAACTACTCGGCAGTACAAGAAATGAGCAGAAAAGGCCACGAGATTGCTGTACATTCTATTTCGTAAGTATTCGACTGAGAAGTCGAGGTATGACCATTAAACCTTCGCTTTGTTCCAGACATAATGACGATGAGCAGTTCTGGTCGAACGCCAGTGTCAACGACTGGGTCAAAGAAATGGGAGGAATGCGCATCATCGCCGAAAAATTCGCAAACATCACCGACAACAGCGTGGTAGGAGTCCGTGCTCCATACCTGCGAGTAGGAGGCAACAACCAGTTTACCATGATGGAAGAAGAAGCCTTCCTCTACGACTCCACCATCACCGCACCGTTGACCAACCCACCACTGTGGCCTTACACCATGTACTTCCGTATGCCCCACAGGTGTCACGGTAACATTCAGAGTTGTCCGACTAGGTCCCACGCCGTTTGGGAAATGGTGCTGAACGAGCTAGATAGAAGGGAAGACCCTGAGACCGATGAGGATCTAGCTGGATGTGGCATGGTAGACTCTTGCTCGAATATCCTCACCGGAGACCAGTTCTACAACTTCCTCAACCACAATTTCGACAGGCATTACAATGAGAACCGAGCTCCGCTGGGTCTCTACTTCCACGCAGCTTGGCTTAAGAACAATCCAGAGTTTTTGGACGCCTTCTTGTACTGGATAGACGAGATCCAAGCCAACCACAATGACGTATACTTCGTAACGATGACCCAGGTCATCCAATGGATCCAGAACCCCAGGACTATCTCGGAGGCCAAGAACTTCGAGCCCTGGAGGGAAAAGTGTGTCGTTGATGGAATCCCTGCCTGCTGGGTACCGCATACCTGCAAGCTGACCTCTCCCGAAGTTCCCGGAGAGACCCTGAATCTCCAGACTTGCGTGAGGTGCCCCAATAACTACCCTTGGTTGAACGATCCCACGGGAGATGGAGGTTTCTAAGACGAGTAGCTGAATGTTCTTGGGGTAGTCTGAATACAGTGGCGTGTCCTTGAAGGATAGCTCTAGTGATCATACGTTCTCGTATTTATTTTTCTCAATGACTGTATGCGTGATCTATTTGTTGTTGTAATTGAAAAACGATTTTAGACTGTTGATAATTCGCTTGGGAAGAAAAGTGACTTTCACATTTTATGTAATATACACTCCTACTAGGTTTATGTGAAAATTGTGTATTCTTGTATGTTTTATAAGAATGGTGAATAAAAATTCCAATGATATATTTCGACACGTGTTTCATTTCTTTTGTTATTGCTAAGTCTGACGGCAGGAATCTTGAGGACAACAAGTTGAGGACCAATAAAGGTTCATGTAATCTAACAAAATATGTGCCGTAGTAATTTAATATTCATGAATTAACCGAAGCCATATCATAAACTGTCTTGACAGGTTATTAGCAGAGCACGATTTTCCATTCCATACTCACTCAACAACGATATCCAAAGACATTCAGGTAGGTATCAACAATCAATAATGTTAACCAAGAAGATTCCAAGCAAAAATATATTATAATATTTATATTGTGTGTATATGTATAGTTTGACATGAAAGATGTTGAGATATGGTGGAGATTTATAATTCGCCTGTATAACTCGGTGAATTCCATTTCCAACATTGCCCGAACAGTTTAACTCTGCATACACAATACTTAGGTATAGGTATACCTACAAGCCTGTTTCAGAATCGTTTTTTTTTCTTCTACCTTCGGAATGTGGATTGGCCGGGATGGACGAAATGGATGACATCACTTGCTTTATAATAAGCTGCACATTTTTCTTGCGGAACACACATGAATTGAATCTGAATATTTATGTGTAATGTGTGTCTGCGTTACAAAGCATTCTTGATCGGGCGCAGTAGCTGTCAAGCTTGATTGAGTCGCGCTTTATGCAAAAACGTTGTTGAAACAGAATTCCATTCGCTTTGTGGAAGGTGGATTTTTTTGCGAGGTCGTTTGGTTACCATATTTGTTCATGCATTTTAAAGAACAAGGAACTTTGCACGAAGAAAATGAGTATTGACGTTGGACCTCAACAAACCTGTTGAAACAACTTCAGATAATGCGAAATATGAACAGAAATCGATGGTGACTATTTACAGAGTGAACTCTTTCAAGGATTTATATAAAGTCAATTTCGATTATGATATTGGATTTTATTGATAGGTATCAGTGAGTACAGTATAATACGTACCTATCAAAAGGCAGAATTCAAGTTCAAATCATGCCATGTGTGAGATGACGTGATTCTAATTTGCTCTTCCGAATGAAATATTCATGAAAGCAAAATGTCTATTAGATAACTCCATATATCCACTATTTCTATATAATATGGCGCATCGCCTATACGATATCTCAACAGAAATGGGACCAAATTGAGAGGTACTTTTTGAATCTATAAGGACGGAAAGTAAAGGATAGAAACTGCTGACGTGAGGATCAGATTTTGAGTTAGGTTAGGTTCACAAATATTTATTTGATCATAATAAAATATTAAAAATCATCAATTGTTGATAATACCACAGTATATAGTACCTTTGTGCAGGTCACTATATAAACAAGAAGATTTGAAAATTCAAATTTACTCATGAAAAGAGGATTCCTGTCTATTCTTTTCTCTTCAAATACTGCATTTCGTTTCTCTAGACATGGTTAAAGGAGTTCAGTCCATGAAAAATTAACGAAAACACGAACACTTAAGAATTGTACAACCAAAAACGCAAATATTCGAATTTCAATCACAATCAATCACATATGCGCAAAAACCAATTTAAAAATTTGAAATTCGTAGCCATATTGGTTTAACAAGTTTCATTTTAGTTTTTCCCTACGTCGGCGTTGAGCCTATTGGTCGATTTCGTTACCTATAGAGACAGAAGTTGGTCCTGCTTTGAGGACAGCTATGATTCATATTATATAGAGTATATATGTGGATAACTCCAACTGATAGTCTGAATTTCGTCTGGATAGATCCATAAATTAAAGAGAGAATAGAGGTTTAGTTTAAGGAAAGCAGTAGTTATTTTACACTAGAGATGTACTGATTGAAATGATTCTACAGATATGCAGGGTTACTATAGTTCAAATTTCCAAAATGTATCTTCGTTTCTGGTATCGGAAGATAATAATATATTGAATAATTCCAAAATTTTCAGATCATACTTCGAAACTCTGGAAATATTGGTTTGTCCAAGTCATTGAAATTCAGAAATTATTGAGAATCGATTTTCCAAAATAAAAAAAAAAGATTGATGATGATTTCTGAGGACTATTTTGTTGCTGATTCTGAACTTTGTGTTATTGTTTTTCACAGAAGAAAAAATGTTTCATTTGTCAGCTACCTACATAGTTTTTTTCTTTTTTTTTAATTCACTCGGCCGTTACTTGATGGAAATCTATGACAAATGTAAAAACTTCACAAACGATAAGATTTCCACAAAATTCTCAAACACACGACATGTTTCGCTAACACAGTAGCTTCGTCAGGTGATATACAGGTACGATCCACTCAGAGAAATAGTCGGTAGTGAATACCAAACGTTAAGTAGAATAGGCACCAGTCACTACATTTATCAAATAATACCACTACAAAGTTGTACTTTACTGAACTATGAGTATTATACTATTTTGTAGTGGTGATATTTGATATACTTAGTATAGTATTATGTAATGTTGTAGTGGTATCATTTGATGAAAGTTGTGACTGGCGCCTATTTTACTAAACATTTGGTAATAACTACCATCTTTTTTTTTCAGTTTCGTACATTTTATTTTATCGATGAATATTAAACTTATCAACAAACAAGTTCACTTTACTTAGCTATTATGAACATTTCACTGTTAACAGTCACATAATAATTGAATTGATGTTTTTTTTCATCAATTCCGTCAGTCTCAAAATCCATTGATGTGACGCCCACCTGAGATATGTATCGTATTTAGGTGTTGTTATTACGACAGCAAATTTTTTTTGTAGGTGACAAAAAATTTCGTCGATTCTAATTCAAAGAAGGTATACCAACATTCAAGGTATGTCTCTAGTTACCCTTGTTTACTTCTTGAACAGGTTTAATCATTGTCACAATTATTATTATTGGTACACACCTACATGATAAATGATCTTTCAAGGAATTTATGACGTTCCATTCTTTATCTCATTGATTCATAATTATAACCGTTTATATGTTCAATGAAATCAACAGTACATAATCAAAAGTATGATTAGCCAGAAAACATTCTTCGGGGAAATTTTCCTTTTTCTTTCGCATTCTTTTCAAACCGATTCATAAACAGTTCAGCCAAGAAAGGTGATGAATAATTTCTCATGCCTGTATACCTTAATGTTGCTCATTAAATTCTGGGTTTGGTTAGGTATACTCAAATAACATTGGCTCATGCGAATATATTTGTCAAAATATTTTCAAATACCACGAAGAATATCCCAAATAAAACATGGTAAGGCAATGTAGCTAGAGTTGTACATTTTGAGAAACAATTGTACATACAATCCTATAAGAAGGAAGTAATTTTGTATGCGTTTCTAAATCTGACCTTCCTGAATGCTTCACAAACTTGATTTTTGTCATCGACCTACGACGAAGTGGATTTCAAGGAAGTGAATGCATCAGTTTTTTTAGTGTAGTTTTTATGTAGTGAAGATTATTTCGTATACCAGTTTAGCAGGAACAGCATCAGCAATAAATTATATGTATTATTATAGATAGGTATAGGTACCTTCTCAAAACTGTGAGATTTTTTTCATAACGTCAGGGTCATGGTTTCAGTTCTAGGTTATGATTAATGATTGATTCACCACTTAATTTTCAGATTCAATAGTCTACCTATGAATATGACGAAATATTACTAAAAAAATATGAGCATACAAACAAAAATCAAGCTGTATTTTTTCTCCTGAAAGTTCAGCTATTTTCATTTGTTTTTTATAATTATAGGTAAATAATGTACACCAAGTGGAAGTGGAAGTCCATACTTGGATTTATCCGCAACCATGTCTATAACGTGAACTTTGTATGTTAATTATAATCTGAGTTTTTAGGAATATGGGAGTGTGTTCGAGGAACTCTCCACGCTGTTTCTAATTTGCTTCGAAGTGCTGTACTTCGATTTTTAATACCACGTTTCGTTTTTCGGAGATATCCCTCAACCCCATTTTTTGGAATATACGGCCTGTTGTTTTTTGACTCAATTTGAGTAGTTATTATTTGTTTTAGGGATATGTTACTTTACTTACCTGTATAGCCCATCAATCTTCTACATTATAGATTATGACGATTGTGGTTATTCAAAACCCAACATGCAAAATCCTATTCAAATGATTCATTTTCAATAAAGATAATAAACTATCAACCATGAAGAATCTTCTATTTGAAAGTCCAATCTACTGCTTATCCTTGATACAAATTAATACCTCAAGTCCAATGATCGACTTTGCCCAAAAACATGAAGTAACAAAACAACTATCCATTCTAATTTCAAGAAAAACGCGTGCACAGCAACCTTATTGGATTCGTCGAATAATAATAGTTAACATTCAGATTCAGAATCGATAAAGATGTTTTAGGAAAATGAAAGTCTTCTTCAGAATGCAGTAGATGGAAAGTTCAATGCCATGTCAAGCACCACAACAGGTTAATTTGAATACTACGGCGTGGATCGTGCATGGATCTCTCTATAATAGAAGGATAGGAACTCAATGGTTTCCATTTCGTTTAAGCTTTATCATGGAGTTGGGCAATGTTCAACTCCATTCTAGATATTCACTGGGCTACATTAACTCCGAGAGTTACTTTGACACTTTTTTGGGCTACTTTAACAACGTTCTAAATTCGAAAAATTTTGGGGTTATGGTACTGTTTGTATCAGGAAGCGAGACTTTGAGCATTCCGCTATGAGTATGGAGGTGTCATTGTGCCATAAATGATTGAAAACATTGTGGAAAATGGTTAGAACCTGAAAAAGGAAAATGGGTGCCCATGCATAAAAAACTCTTCAGTGCCCGACCACTGATTAAAGTGACAACCAGCAAATTACGTGAGAATTCCGCCAAATTATTTAGAATATTTCGCAGAATTTTTCTTCTTCTTAGTTCTTGTTTCATTTCAAAAAGGTAGAGTAGGAAATGAACACAATAATGTAAGTGAATGACTATTATAGGTTTTACAGAAAATGTCTATCTCATCACTGTCTTCACTATCTGAAGAAGAACTACTGATTT